ACACACACACACACCACACACACACCACACACACACACACTCACACACACACACAAACACACACACTCACAAACACACACACTCACAAACACACACACACACACAAAACACACCACACACACACACACACACAAACACACACTCACACACACACAAACACACACACTCACAAACACACACACTCAACACACACACCCCAACACACACACACTCACAAACACACACACACACACACACACACACACACACACACAACACACACACACACAACACACACAACACACACACACACACACACACACCACAACACACACACACACACACACAAACACACACTCACAAACACAAACACACACACACACACAGACAGGATGTTCCAGAGATTGGACACAGTAACAAGGGGACACAGTTGGAAGCTGAAGACACAGATGAATCACAGGGATGTTAGGAAGTATTTCTTCAGCCACAGAGTAGTCATTAAGTGGAACAGTTTGGGAAGCGATGTAGTGGAGGCAGGATCCATACATAGCTTTAAGCAGAGGTATGATAAAGCTCACGGCTCAGGGAGAGTGACCTAGTAGCGATCAGTGAAGAGGCGGGGCCAGGAGCTCGGACTCGACCCCCGCAACCTCAACTAGGTGAGTACAACTAAGTGAGTACAGGCGGGGCCAGGAGCTAGGACTCGACCCCTGCAACCTCAACTAGGTGAGTACACACACACACACACACAAAGATCTTGGGGTGAGTATAATACCGAGCACATCTCCTGAGGCGCACATCAGTCAGATAACTGCTGCAGCATACGGACGTTCCGATACCTCAGTTAGGAATCGTTCAAGACTCTGTACACCATACACGTCAGGTCCATATTGGAGTATGCAGCACCAGTTTGGAATCCACACCTAGTAAAGCACTTCAAGAAATTAGAGAAAGTGCAAAGGTTTGCAACAAGACTAGTTCCAGAGATAAGGGTATTGTCCTGCGAAGAAAGGTTAAGGGAAATTGGCCTGGCGATACTGGAGGACAGGGTCAGAGGAGACATGATAACAACATATAAAATACTGCGAGGAATTGACAAGGTAGACAGAGACAGGATGTTCCAGAGATGGGACACAGCAACAAGGGGTCACAAATGGAAGCTGAAGACTCCTACGAGTCATAGGGATGTTAGGAAGTATTTCTTCAGTCATAGAGTTGTCAGGAAGTGGAATAGCCTAGAAAGTGACGTAGCGGAGGGAACCATACAGTTTTAAGACGAGGTTTGATAAAGCTTATGGAGCAGGGAGAGAGAGGACCTAGTAACAATCAGTGAAGAGAAGGGGCCAGGAGCTATGAATCGACCCCTGCAACCACAAATAGGTGAGTACACACACATATACACACAAAGACACACACACACAAACACAAATATATATATATATATATATATATATATATATATATATATATATATATAATATATATATATATATATATATATATATATATACACAAATACATATAATTAGTGATTAAAGTGGGAAAACATGCCAAATGCTTGATAAAACATTTAATGAAAGTAACAGATAATAAGAAGTATACGGGAGTAAAGAAAAATCATACATACCCATTAAAAATATGTATATGGAGGCATTCAGATCACTGTATACTGCATACCTAAGTTAGACACTAGAGTCTGCAGCACCAGCTTGAAACCCGTATCTTATCAAGAAAAAACAAGGTGTGCTGTAAGGCTATGCTACGCAGAACACTATTTCCCATTAGTAGGAGATCGAAGAACCAGAGGAGACATGAACCAAGCTTGTAAGAGAGACAGAGATAAAGTCGATAAGAGATATACTATTCGAGATGAAAGGGGAAACAGAGAGGAGTCAAAATTTGATTTTTTTTTTAAATTCAGTCAAAGAGATATGAGAAAGAATTCGTTCAGTGTGAGGACAGTGATCAAGTGAAATGCATATGGAAGGGACGAAGTAAAAGCCAAAACAATACGTAGAATCAAAAGCAGATATGACAAAAAGAACAAAAGTGCACAGGGAAATCAGAAAGATTATCAGTCCGAGGTTAGTTAGAAAGTGGATAGATTTAGACGGTGAAATGACGGAAGAAGCTTCAGCACATCGTTTTAAAACTTTGTGATAATACACCAAGAGGCCAGGAAGTGTGTGTACTCACCTAGTTGAGGTTGCGGGGGTCGAGTCCGAGCTCCTGGCCCCGCCTCTTCACTGATCGCTACTAGGTCACTCTCCCTGAGTGTGTGTGTGTGGGAGGGGGGGGGCGGTCGAGAGTAGTCGAAACACGGGGACAGGTGCCGAGGCTCGATACCCCCTTACTCACACCCAGGCCAGTACAACTAGACGAGAAGACGAGCGTGCGCGCGCGAGCGCGAAAACCAATTATCCGGTGCTTGTTGCTTTAGTCCAAGAGCCACCACTCAAAATACTGAATCTGACTACTAAATTCAGGGACTTAAAAAACACTATTACGTTCAGTCAGTCAGATGTCTGAGTTGTCCCACATCATTCTGTGGTCCAGTGACAATTTGTGGTCCATCTCTAAAGCTAGCTTCCGCTCATATATTAAAATTCATGAAGAATCCTGCACAAATAGCAATAAATACAGTAACAACTAATCTATAACCCTCAAATAAGTTGCACTGTAGTGCTAGTTACGTTGAAGGTACATCAGTTGCAATGATCAATAGAGTCCTAGTACACCTAGATACTTAACATCAATGATGCTTTAATCACTAGAGTATAGAGGCATGAACTTCGCTATTTATAAATACCTGCACTGTATAATTAGGTTCAAAAAGTATCGACTACACGTTGTTCATCAAGGTTGTAATTCAAGTGTACACTAATATCAGGTATACTAAATTAAAGACTCAAGTAAATGTTTAGAGTATACATACTGACGCTACACGTGTGTTGATCTTGTATTCTAGCCAGAGCCAGAGCAAGACCCTGAGCCAGAGCCAGAGGACTGATATCAAGAGAAAATATTCCTTTGATGGGGCATTAAAACAACTTCGTGAAGAGAGATATATGTAGTTACATGAAATCCTTTACTGAAGATATTTACACACACACTGCATTTTCTAAAGTCACAAACAGATGACCTATCGTGACTTGATGCCCAACATGAGAGCAAAACGTCGTCAAAAAAGTATTTAATATGATTTAATTTGTGCCTCTTGACCATCGCGTCTGTATCTCACACTATTAGCTGTCCTACTGAAAGGCTAGTTGACATCTCCTTAATTGCTTGTAGGACTCTGGGAGTTGACGTGTGTACTGTCTTGTTTGGACCTCATTCAGATACCAGGTGTAATACTGTAATTGAATTGGCAGACAAGAAAAGATGAAAGCGTTGAAAATTCTTCGAATCTGGAAGTTTAGGAAAGCCTTTTGATCTCACACTTCCAATTGGGAAATTGGCAGAGAGGTGTTCAAAGTCATCCAGGAAATTCACTTTTTTTCAAATATGCTGCAGCAGCACCAAGGTGGACGAAGTGAATGAACTACGGTTGCAAATTCTGTTACTACAAGAAAGGGCACAGAAGCTGAGCAGGTGCTACAGTGTTAAGACACACTGGTAGTAGGATGGTGGACAACGCCCATCCAGGTAGGTATACCTGGAGGGTGTTCCAGGGGTCAACGCCCCCGCGGCTCGGTCCATGACCAGGCCTAGGTACTGTCATCCTGTCAAATGAGTGCGGAACTGAAAATTTATATATATTTTTTATACTTTAGCAAGACTACTTATCTCTTTCTTTGTCACAAGAACACATAAGGTGAAAAGTAAATATTACACACAACTTCTTACATTCCTAATAGTTCTTAACTCTGTAATATTTCCTCTCCGACTTTGGAGGCCTGATCTGAGGCTGAGGGCTGGAGAAGATAGTCTCCAGAACCACTAGCAGATAACTGTGGCATGTTGCCGTCTAGAGGCAGAGCTTCGAGAATTAAACTGATATTCGTGAACCCAGGAAAGGACATGGCCTGTTAATAAACGATGAAGGGAGTATTGTTATCTGATGGATGGCCGGGTCTCTGGTCCCAGAGATCGTGTTATATGCTGAGACTCAGAGCTACTGAAAGACTCGGAATGCTGGAACAAGATCGAACCAAGAACTGCTGCAATGAGATCAACTTCTGGAACGGGATAAAAATAAATGGTGGAACAGGATAAAAAAAAAAAGCCTGCTTAAACGAAACCAACAACTTCTGGTACGAGCTTAAAAGTGTTGGTACAAAAAGCGCTGGTACAAAAGCAACAATTACTGGTCCGAGACTCAACAGCTGCAAGAAGAGCAACAACTGCTGGTACGAGACTCACAACAGCTACAAAAGCATCATTATTATTATGGAGAAGCGCTAAACCCATAGGGCTTTATACCGCGCCTGGAGGAGGGAGTCCTGGAAGGCATTCAGGCTCAATTCAGGGAAATGGAGCATAGATCCAATTCCCTAGATCAAGAGCCCGTCAACAGCATCAAGGAACCTTCCTTGAGGGGTGCAACAAGAGCAACATCTGCTGATAGGAGAATCAGGACTACTAACGCCCATCACCTAAAAAAAAAACAAACAAAAAAAAAAAAAAAAAAAAAAAAAAAAAAACAGAAGATTCGAAGTAAGAATCTTCCACAAACAGGGCCACGAAATTGCATTTTTTCATGCAAAATCTAATTTATTAAGGAAATAAATCGTATTACTGAACCAGCCAGAGGGAGCCGAACAAGCTTCTCTGTGGTGGACTACTTGCTGATATCCTGATCAGTCAGGTTAACAGTCAGGATATCTAGCAGCCCAAGGATATACTGGTGGTGTTTACCTCCGCGAGGGACCGAGATGTCGACGATAACTTCTCAAATCATAATCTCTCAGATTTACTTTATTTTCCAGGTGTGGGGAGCAGGAAGGAGCTCGGTCATCACCCTCTCTCTTCCCTCCCTCCTGGACAAACACTAACCTTAATTACTAACGACCACTAACCTTAATCACTTCTCCCTTCTTGAAGAGCAGAGCCCCTGGCAGCTTCAGGTCCAAATGGTCACAGAGCGCACGAACTGGTTCAGCGTTGATGGACTCTGTAATAAGGAATTATAAAGGTCAGTTTAACCTTCACTAAAAACAGTTTATACACGTGTGTACATTTAATATACATATACACATACGTATATACGTACATGAAAGAGATACATTCTTATATGCTAAGTGCTTATTGGCTTCTTTCACAGGCTTCTCTCTCTCTCTCCTCTCCCATCTTTATGCTTTCTACCTGTCATCCTTTCTGGCTCATTTTCTCTTTATCTCAACTTTGTATCACACCATTTTCATATCCTCTAGTTACCCTTCTCTATTCATCACTTCTCCCGAAAATGGATTTCTACCCACATGTCCCTCTTCCTATTCCTCATCTTCTCTCTTTTGTTTCTCTTCCTTATCCTTCTAACCTGTCTCCTCTCATTGTATTTTCCTCTCTATAGCTCCCTCACCTTCTCTCAATTCAGTTTTCTCTCTCTCTGTCTCTCTCTCTCTCTCTCTCTTTTTTTTTTTTTACACAGGGTTTGACAAGGTTAAGGATCCCTAGCTTTATTGACAAACTATTTACAGGTTAAGGATTCCTAACTTTATTGGCAAGCTAAGAGCTGTTACCTACATCAGCTCATTTGAAAACATTTTTATTGTTATGAGACATACAAGTAGGGAACAGGATGAAGTTGGAGCCATCTGTGGGCCAGCATTTTCATTTGATCAACTGACTTTATCTCGTTGACATCATTATGCTGTACGAATGTGTTCCATACTCGAGTCATCCTGGGTATATATGATCTCAGATGGAGTGATGTTCTGGAGAAGGGTACAGCCAGAGTGAAGTTGCTGCTTTCTGCCCGTCTTGTGGCATAAAAGCTTGTTTCACGCTGTCCTCGAAGTGGATCCAAGTGTGGTACTTTGACAAAATTGGCCTTGTACATAACAGTAAGGCCACCCACATCCCTCCTATGTTGAAGGCTCTGCTGAAATGACAGATCTATCCAGGATGGATCCAGGCGAGAGATGAGACGTCTAGCTCTGTTCTCTACTCTGTCAAGCAGTCGCAGATGAGAGGGGGGGGGGGGCAGGCAAACCAAGAAAGTGGAGCATACTCAAAGTGTGAGCGTACTTGTGCCTCGTACAGAATCTTGCAACCCCTACTGTCAAGCAGATGCGAGATACGGCGAAGTGCTGTAAGCTTCCTGGCTGCCTTGTTTGCAAGATTTACATGGTTCTTCATGGTTAGTTTGGAGTCAAATTTCACCCCAAGGATATTAACTTCTTCTCCAGGTGCCAACACCCTCCCATTCATCCTTACTACTGCACCAGCATTACCATCATGGTGCCTAGAGACCATCATCAGTTGCGTTTTCTCAGGTGCAAATGTTACTTGCCATCTATTTCTCCAAGCTGATATAGCTCTTAGCTGGTGATTGATGTAGCTTAGAGCAGCTGGCATTTCTTCTCTTGGATAAGTGAATGTCAGTGTACAGTCGTCTGCATATGCATGTGATTCTGGGATGAGATGAAGAAGGTCGTTGAAGTAGACATTCCATAACAATGGTCCCAGCACGCTTCCTTGTGGAACACTTGCCCCAATAGGATGTCTTGCTGATTCCGTTCCACTGAGAACTACACTTAGAGATTTACCATGAAGGTAATCACTGAGGAGACATAGCGTAGAGCCTGCAATTCCCAGTGCTTGAAGTTTTGCTAAGAGGCCCTGGTGCCACACCTGGTCGAAAGCGCCAGCAATGTCCAGTGCTACCACACAGCTCTCTCTCTCTCTCTCTCTCTCTCTCTCTTTCCCACTCCTTTCCTCTTTTTTGGTCCAGTTTCTCCATCCTCCCTCCCATCCTTTCTGCCTCCCGTCCTCACCCATCACGTTTCTCATGTCCTCTATCTACTCTCTCTCTCCCTCTACTCCATCCCTCTCACCATCTACTCTCTCCCTCCCTCTCTTCATCTACTCTCTCCCTCCCTCTCTTCATCTACTCTCTCCCTCCCTCTCTTCATCTACTCCCTCCCTCCATCTACTTCCTCCCTCCAGCTCGTCCCTCCCACCTTTCTGCTCCACTGGACGTGAATGCCACCATCTCAGTTATGAAAAGACTTTCCTTCTTTAATCTGTTAATTGTTGCGCCTCTATCACATGTCCTGCCAGAAATTTTGTTTCTTCTTCTTCTTTTCTCAGTCTCTCCTATCTGCTCCTCCCTCCACGTCTATCACACTCCTCCTAGCTCTCTCTCACATATATAGGGGAGTACAACTGGGTATTCTCTCTCTCTCTCTCTCTCTCTCTCTTTCACTCAACAAAGTATATATTACCTATTACGCTGTGTCTAACCTATTACTCTCAGTGTGTAAACTATTACTCTCAGTGTCTTAACTATTACTCTCAGTGTGTAAACTATTACTCTCAGTGTGTAAACTATTACTCTCAGTGTGTAAACTATTACTCTCAGTGTCTTAACTATTACTCTCAGTGTCTTAACTATTACTCTCAGTGTCTTAACTATTACTCTCAGTGTCTTAACTATTACTCTCAATGTCTTAACTATTACTCTCAGTGTCTTAACTATTACTCTCAGTGTCTTACCTATTTCCCTTAACATTTTCCCAACTCTCCTGTCATCTCTATTTCCTTCAATATATTACCCATTTCCCCCTCAGTATCTTATATATTTCCATATCTTTCCCTCATTCTCCCCTTCCTCAGTGTCTTACCTACTTCTCTTAATACATTCCCCATTTCTCCTCGGTATTTTATCTATATCCATTATTACCGTCTTCCCACAGTTTCTTCCCTATTTCTCACAATACCTCTATCATTCCCTCAGCCTCTCACCTATTCCTGTCTTCCTCATTTCCATTATAACATTTTCTGCTTCCTTTAAAATATATTTTTTCCGAGTAATTCCTTTCGATTCTCCCCTTATTCAACAATTATCCTCACTCCCTTTATTATAAAATCATTCTCCCCCCCTTTATTCTACAATCATTATCTCCCTTATTCTACATTCTCCCCCTTTCCTCCTTATTCCACAATCATTCTCTCTCCCCCTTATTCTATAATCATCCCCTCCCTTTTCTTTCCTCCATATTCTCTTTCTTTATCCACTTCCTTCTCAAGGAAATCCTCCCTTCACCTCCTCCTACACATACACTTCGTTGATTTCCCCTCACTGATCTGTCTCTTTGCCCTCATCTGTTTCCATTTCAAGGATTTTTAGTTCTTTACTCACTGTCAAAATCATCACATTTAAGAAGGCGTAAATGGAACAGATGACAAGGAGATGAAAGAGAGGAAGACAAGAGAAGGAGGGAGTAAGGGAGGGGAGAGTAGAAACAAAGAGGGTAGGAGAAGAATACGAAAAAAGACGGGAAGGGGAAGAAGAGGAGAGGAAACATGGAAATGGAAGATGGGAATGGAAAGAAGAGGTAGGAAGGTGTGAAAAGGAAAGATAAGAATGGAAAGAAGAAGGGAGGAGTTACAAGGAATGGTGGGAATGGGGAGAGAAGGAAACCAGAAGTGGAACGGGAAGATCGGAATTTGAAGAGGGGGAAGGCACGAATAAAAAGGGAGGATGGGAATGGGGAGATAAGGAAGGCAGGAGTGATAAGGGAGGATGGGAATGGGGAGAATATGAAGGGATAATTGGTAAGGGAAGATAGGAATGGGAGAAGAGGCAAGATGGAGCAGCAGAAGTGTAGTCTTAGTCTTCAGTAACTACTCAGAGAAATGGGATCGAATGTCACAGAGAGTTACCTCGAAGACTCTCTAATCTCTTGTTGTCCTATCTGAATGCAAATTTCCACGCTCGGGTTATTCCTTCCGCAGCAACAGGAGGGAGAGAGGGGTAGACAAGGAGGAAGAAAGGAGAGTGCAAGGAGGGGTAGAGAGAGTGAAATTAAGGAAGAGATGAAGAAGGTTCTGAATGGCAGGAGGAAGGGATTGTGGGAGGGAGGGATGGTGGGGAGGGAGGGATGGTGGGAGGGATTGTGGGAGGAAAGGATGGTGGGAGAACGGGATAGGAGATGGAGTTTGGGTATATAAACAAGGCAAACTGTGCTAGTCCTAGAGCAGAGTGAACTATGCTACGAGGAGAAACTAAATAAATTTTACCTAACAACCAGGGAGGAAAGAAGGAGCGGGAAAGACACGATCACGAAATTCCAGATACTAAGAATATTCAACAGCTCGAATATAGACAGCCAGCTTGACATGCGAGGCACATATGGGAGAAGTTAGAATAAGCTTTTAAAGCTTCTATACATAGTTTCAAGAACCGGTAGTATAAAACAGAAGAGACCAAGAAACATCGACACCAAATGTATGTTAAGATGTGTGGCCCGGAACCGTGACTCGACCCCAGCATTAATAATTTGGTTAACACACAGACAGACACAAGCAAATACACACACACACACACACACACACACACACACACACACACACACACACACACACACACAGGCGGACCGACAACACAATAAAATACTTAATGAACCAACAACATTACGGAGAAACAAAAGCTCTCCACTAAAACAGTTTATTTTCTCCAGGACAAAAATTACGATTTCTTCCAAACATTAAGATGCTCTTGTTAAAGGTTTTACTCTAAATATTAAGAGTTCTTCAAATATGCATTTTATATTTTCTAAACATGACTAGTTTTCTAATTATTACCAAATTGTGAATATTTTTTTTAACATCATGAGTCTTCTAATATTAAAGAGATTTTGAATTAACAATCCCTAAATAATACGAGTTTCTAAATTTTAAAGAGTTCCAGTGGAGACGAAGAAGAGCAAGAAAATAAACAACTTCAATAAAAAAGAAAATCAAAAAATCATATGAAAGTTCTCTGTAAAAAAAATGAGAGAGAGAGAGAGAGAGAGAGAGAGAGAGAGAGAGAGAGAGAGAGAGAGAGAGAGAGAGAAATCTTACTAAAAGCTTCATATAAACATTAAACAAGACACGTCACATTTTTTCCTATCTATCTTTTAGAACTTTACCATCCACACCATTTTTCCTTCCTGTTCTCCCTCC